TTAAATTAACAATAATTATTTTCTGTAAATCAATATTAAATGAAAAATATAATTATTAAAATTTTAGATATTAACAATAACTTTGTATACTTTTAATTAATTAACAACAAATCTTGATTATTAATTTAATATTAATTAATAATAAACAAAATTATTAAATCTTTCAGATTTTTCTATGCATCGCATGGGTCCCACTAGTATAAATATATATGAAAGACTTTAACATATTTAGTATATAATTGGGCTTTTGAACTAGAGAACTTTATATTGAGCCTATAGAGTAAGTCCTTGGAATCGAACGAAATTTCAAATAAGAAAAATCCGATCAAAGTCAAACTTGAATGCATTGTTCATACATCCGATTTTGGATGCTATTAATTTCTTATCTGATTAGACTTAGTTTAGGCGAATCCAATCCTACAGAACTAAATTGAACAAGTGGCAACCCTTATCCCCCAAACCCAGCTTATCAAGAAAATGGGCAAACTACAAACTTGGTGAATGTTTGTTTTTGTGGTTGGGAAAATCTATGATGCGATAGAGAAAGACATGATACCAAAAAAGCTTTGATACTGGTTGATTGGTTAATACATTTATGATACCGGTTGATTGGTCACAAGTTTTTATCTTTTTAACCAAAAGAAAACAAGACATTGGTTGTGAGTACTTATAAAAAGCGTTTTTTCACCAACAATGCCAATTTAGTAAAAGTCAAAAGAAGCCTATTTTACAACACCAAAAAGCCATTTTAAAAAGGAAACCCATTTACATTTTGGAAAAGTCCTTTTTAGAACATTACATCAAAGTTCAAACACTCAAATATGCTAACCTAATGTTACGATCCAACTGCTCCCATTGGCTAAGTCGTGTGGCACTCACTTGGCCCTCCAAGCAAGTCAGTTAAACTGCATGCCCAAGACCCTTCTTGCTATGTTGCTTAAGTGCTAAGGACGCTCACCAAGACACACAAGAGCACACCAAGTAATGTAAGAGAAAGAGATTGTATTGCACTAGAAGAAATCTTACAACTTGGATGTCTTCTACAACTTCAAAGTCTGTTGCAAATGAAGGAGGGGACCCCTATTTATACACTAACCCCCTCTAGGAATCCTCTAGAATTATGTACAATTGGCATCTAGAAGCACCTCTAGAACATTCTACCTTCTACACTCTTCTAGGGGATGCCTTCTCTATGATACAAGAACACTCTGGAGGAAGTCTACATTACTCATAACCCCTCTAGGTTGTTTCACACAAACCCGGATTGTTGTACAAGGTTCTAGAGAGTTCCACCAATATCTAGGCCCTTCTAGACACATGGAGAACACTTCGGAACAGCCCAGATTCCTACAGAATTGGCTAGAAGCCTCAAGAAACATGTAGAAAACCTCTGGCCAAGCACCCCATTATGTCAATCCATGACATTCTCCCCCACCTAATTGTGCAACACCCTCATTGAACTTAGTTGAATTGTGCCTCCCATTGCCTGATTAAGTCTTCGTGGCCGCCTGCAATCAACTCGTCTGCTCGTACCCACGATGCTTCTAATGCTGGCAACCCCTTCCACTTGACTTCGTACTCCACCCATGGAGTTATCCAAGGAAAAGTAGTCATGGTCTCAATGGTAATCTCCTCAGGTTCCTTGCCCTTTGGATACATAGCCTTCATAGCTACTATAGCCACCCATTTGTTCCTATCATGATCAATTGTCTGGCCCCTGCYAGTGTCCTTGCCTCGGCCCCTACCTTGGCTTGTTCCTGCATACACGACTTTGTCCTTGCCTTGGACCTGCTTGTCGTGTTGTGCTGCCCTTGGTTGTTTGTCCACCCCTAGATTAGATTGGTCCCCATGGCCTTGCCCCACGCCTAGTTGTAGGGCTAATAACTTCTTCAATGTTGCGCATGTCCCATCCACCAAAGGGACCATGCATGAGGCCCTTGCCTCCATGATGCATAACACTTGCGCATAAGGTATGGGCATAACCTGTACATTGTTGAAGAAGTCCATACCTAATATCGTCTGGTAGTCATCCATTGGCACCACGATCACATCTATGGTACCTTGCCAGTTCCCTAGCTGAATGCTCACCCCTTGAGTAACGCCCTCGATCTCACGTGCTTGGGAGTTAAATGCCTTGATCATGCCCGTGCCCTTTGTGACCTTTAAGCCCAAGTGCTTTGCCTCCCTAGTTGAGACAAAGTTGTGAGTCGCCCTTGTGTCCATCATGGCCTTGGTCTTTTCACCATTGATCAATGTTTCAACATACATCAGCCTTGACCCGACTGTGGTCTTGGCTGCCCCCTTAACTGGCCCCTCCAGGTTCTTAACACTACAAAGCAACTGTAGTGACCCAATCTTGGCCTCCCCATGGCCGTCTTCTTGCTGCCCCATCTGTGCCACTAGTGCACTAAGTGCCCTCCACTGCGGATAGTCGCGAGCATAGTGGTCCCTTCACAAATGAAGCAACTCAACTTTGCCTTGCCCTTGTCCCCTAACTTAGGCGGATTGGTCTTGTCGTCCTGAGTTTTGGTTTGGGCCCCCTTGCCCTGGTAAACACTCTACATACCCCGATCGTCCCTGTGGCTGTGGTGATCTCCCACACCTACGCCGTGGCCACCCCTTGCAGACTGGGCTCCATTGAGCTACCCATGTTGTTCTCCCCCAACTTTTCTGCCTCAACCAAGGCAGTGGCTAAATCCTGCACGCCGTTGTGTTGCAGCTCCATTTCCGCCCATAGCTGGAGTCCATCCATGAAATTGAACAACAACTCCTGGTCAGCCATGTTGGGTATCTCAAGCATGAGTGTGGATAACTCCCATACATAGTCCTTAATCGACCCAGTATACTTCAACTTCCTCAAGTTATGCCGCACCAAGTACTCTATGTTCTCCGGATAGAATTGGTGCTTGATGTCCTACTTAAATTCATCTTAAGTGTCAATGTGACACTGCCCCTGTTCCATGTATGCATAGCGCCRCCTCCACGATAAGACATCTGTGTCGGTTAAGTACCTAGTGGCAACACGTACCTTGGCTTGCTCATCCCTTATGTGCATGGCTTCAAAGTACTGCTCCATGTTCCATAGGAAGTTGGCCAACACCCGTGCATCCTTGGCACCATTGAAGTGAGGTGACTCAGGTGCCCTTACCTTTGGCACGTCCCATGGAGTCCCCACCTCATCTCGTGCTAACAGCTTCTTGCAGAGCACTATGTCTACCTTCAGCTCGTCCACATTAATTTGGACTTTGGCTAGGCTCCCCATCATCTTGGCTTCCAGCCTTTCCCACTTCTTGTCTTCCACATTCCAAGCAAGATCTATGACCTCTCCCATGTTTACCTTGAGCTCCACCAGCCTACCCTCCAGGCCATCAACTCGACTACCCATGTCTGTGAACTTGTCTTACTTGTCTCCCATGGCAAGCTCCAACCTCACCATCCTGGCCTCCAAGGCAGCAAGGACGTCCCTTGACGCTCCCCTTGTTTTCTTGGAGTGGTCCTTCTCCTGTTCGTGTGTCTTGCTATTGTCGAGTCCGTCCAACATCATGTCCACGCACAAGCTCCCACGCGCTCCTAGCAAAGTTGCTCTGATACCACTTGTCACGACCCGATTGCTCCCGTTGGCTAAGTCGTATGGCACTCACTTGGCCCTCCAAGCAAGTCAGCCAAACTGTACACCCAAGACCCTTCTTGCTAGATTGCTTAAGTGCTAAGGATGCTCACCAAGGCACACAAGCCAAGTAATGTAAGAGGAAGAAATCATATTGCACTAGAAGAAATCTTACAACTTGGATGTCTTATACAACTTCGAAACCTGTTGCAAATGAAGGAGGGGACCCCTATTTATACACTTACCCCCTCTAGGATACCTCTAGAACATTCTACTTTCTACACTCTTCTAGGGGATGCCTTCTCCATATGATACAATAACACTCTAGAAGAAGTCTAGATTACTCATAACCCCTATAGGTTGTTCCATACAAACCCGGATTGTTCCACAAAGTTCTAGAGAGTTCCACCAATATCTAGACCCTTCTAGACACTTGGAGAACACTCTAGAACACCCCAGAACACTCTGGACCAGCCCAGAACCTATAGAGTTGTCTAGAAGCCTCAAGAAACATGTAGAAAACCTCTAGCCAAGCACCCCATTTTGTCACTCCATGACACTAAATTCTCCAATAACAAGTTTGAAGTTGGGTTGCATAAATGGACACTAGGGGTGGAATCGAGCCGAACCGAGCCGAGCCCAATACTTGACTATTCGAGCTTGGTTCGTAGAAATAGTATCASGCTCGAGCTCGAGCTCAAGCTCGATTTGAGCTAGAGACTTGAGCTCGAGCTCGGCTCGGTTCATAGCTCACAAGTTCGAGCTCGACTATAAGCTAAGTTTTTTTTTTTGAAAAATTAAAATTATATGTATAAAATTATTATTTTTATTTTTTAGACAGRATTAATAATTATAAAAATTATTTAATATTATATATACAAATAAAATTGTAAAAATTATTTATTATTATACATGAGAAATAAAAATGTTATTAAAAATTATTTGTTATATATATTTATATGTATGTATATGTGTATATAAAAATAAAAATATTATATACATGTATGTAATATGTATACAATAAAAATTATTTTATTTAATATTATGCTTGCGAGCCTCACAAGCTGAGTTTTACTGGGCTCGAGTTCAACTCGATTAACAAACGAGCCTATATACCAAGCTCGAATTCAACTTGAAACTCAATTTAAATCAAACCAAACTCGAATAACTAGTGAAAAACTCGACTCGTGAGGTTTTCTTCTTTCGGGTGTTCTCATTGAGTGGGTCGGATGTGGGTCAAACATGCATGGGGTCAATGTAAATGGGTTGGTTGGAAAACAGGGTTCACCGAGGTCCTTAACGACATTTCCGGATTATTGGGAACATCTCCCCACGAGTAATAAATACTAAGTACGGGAGATATTCCTTATGTGCGGCGAGAATATGAAGTCGGTGTGAGGAGCAGATCCCAATTCCTTAAAGACTAGGGTTTCTCTCCCTGCAACTTCGATCCGTTATTCCCCTCCATTGTCTCTCTGTTTGGAGCACAATTCAGACGATCAATCGTTCTCTGATCATAGATGTTAATCTTTTCAGGTTTATTCTAATGTTTCCTTGGATCCTTTTTCTTCTTGGTGACAGTATATAGAAGACACCAGAGTTTCAGATTTCAGGGCTTTATCTCCCATTTTCTGGAGGCTGCATCTTAGTTCCTTCATATCACTTTCTGTTGCTAGGATCCTTTCTTTACATCCTAAGATCAAATTATCACCCGAGAATGGACAGCAAATATACAGCGGAGATGTTGAAGTGAGGTTTTCTTTTTGTGTCTCCAGGTTTTATATGATTGAATTAGAGATACGTTTACTGAACTGCTGGGTACTGTTGGGTACAGGCACTTGGAGAAACAGAGAGAGATCCTCATGGATGCGTATAGGTCAATGTCGCACGAACTGCATAGGCTTCAGGTGGCTCTTTGAATCCATTACTGGGTTATAGTACTTCATTTACATGTTTGATAATTATATGAATATGATTATTTCTGTTTTCCCTTATTTTAACATCTCTGTGATTTGAAGGTAGAAGAAGAGATGCTTATGCGCAAGTTTTACGAACTTATGTCAGCCCATGGCGTATTAAAAGAGGTTAGCTCCTTCTAGCTACAGTTGTTTTTTTTTTTCAATAAATTTTGTAAGTGTTATCAATCAAAAAAATAAATAAGTTATCTAGTCTTGAGTTTTAATTTTAGTGAAAACATGATTGAGACGATGAATTAATTTGAAAATGAAAGGAAAATTGTGTTATGGAGGGAGAATGCAGAACTGATAATGCTGACTGCTGACACAGTCTTATACCCATTTTACAAAAATAGTTTTCAAGGCATCTGCCCTTTGAATTAGAAATTCTGGAATGGACAAACCATACATAATTGGTACAATGAATTACTTCTGCAAATGAGGGGAAAATGAAGTATGAAGTTGTGCTGTGGGTGGGGAATGCGGAGCTGAGAATGCCGAGAATACTGATTGTCCTATTTTACAAAATAATGTTCAATACATTTGCCCCTTCAATCAGCAGTTCTGCAGTCAACATGCCATAAGCCTTAGAACTACGGGAATCTGGTGTTTCAGGTATGGGCAATTGTCAAATTAGAGTGCTTTTATCTCTACATCATGGGGATAACCGACCTGGGTAGCTTGTAGAACATAAAGAGAAAAGGATTCTGAGAAATATTTGGATCAGCATTTCTCCCTTCGGGAGTTTCTTGCACATTTGATTTTATCAATATTGTTATCAACTAATAAAGACTGTCAATGTTAATGAAAAAAACATCATGGGGATAACCTCACTAATTTCTCTCCCGTTACCAAAGTTTTGATGAGTATTCATTAAAATGATAGAAGTAAAAAAGAAAAGTTAAAATGATAAATTAATAATCTTATCACTGATGAAAAATCATGATAAAATATTGAACTTGTCAAATTGGGGATATACATCAGGTTCTGGTATGCTCAAGACTTGAAATGTATCCTCGTATTGTGTTGTATTAATAGTAGCAATTAAGTTGTTTTGTGTAATCAATGGCCATCTCTTGGAACAAAGGTATTTGCTAATGATTCTTCCTCACCTTGAGCCTCATTCCGATGTCATCTTAAGGAATGATAGTAAGCTTCTGGTCCTTAATGGTCATTTTTTTATTCCTTCTCCACTTTTGAATTTGAATAGCCAAATAAACCCCTGATGGAAGATAAAATTGAAACCGAAGCATCCCATTCTTTAACAAACTATGAAAATGTTGCGCCAATGAATTTTTTTATGATGGACTGGACTTTTTTTTTGGTAATCTACTGCAGTACTTGTTTGGTATTCTTAGATGTGTATTGGGTTGTTTAAAACTTCAGGATCTAAATTAGTTGCTTGTTAATGTCTTTTCTTCATTTATTTCCTCTTCTTTCGCAGGATGCCAACAGAGAAAATGCACTGAATGATAGGGAGAGTTCTCCATCAAATTGTGACACAAATAGTCAAAGATAATTTTGATGTCTGGTGGTGCTAAAATGTTGAACTTTTATAGATCATTGTAGGTAGCACCATTGGAGGTCCAAGCATCAGTCCAAAACTTCCAAGTTCCAACAACTTGCTGTCTTAATGGGAGGGGCCAAGATTCAACCAAGGAACCTTTATATTTTATGTACATATTTACTGATTAAAAAGGGATGGTCGTGAGAGTTATGCCTCTCGGCTCAAGCAAGTGGATTGCCTCACATATTGCTTCAACAATTGAAAAAACTGGTTTTCTACTTTGATCATATTGCTTTCTATTAGACACGGGCAGCCCTCCTCTTGAAATCGTGAAACAAGACCCATCAAAGGGGCCTGGAAATTGTAGAGAGCTCAAATATTGGTTCAGATTGGAAGGAGTAGCTTCAGTTTGTCAGGAGATCTGTAGCCATATTTCCTTAGCAAACTAATAATCTTCCCAGGCTCCTTGAACTTCCTTTCGTGTTTTCAGTCATGAACTTGGAATCACCTTCAGTTCAATCTCCTTTAAGCCTTGCTTCAGGAATACCCCAACATCCCACAACCATTCCAGATGTTGAGTATAGGTGTGGACGGGTAGCAAGTATCCTCTTGCCCTCAACAAGATGCTTTTTCCTGTTTTGCCATAAAAAACGAGAGTAGAAGACAGATATTTTTCCATGCCATTCTGCTCATAATTGTCCTTGAGAATGCCCATAATCCACATTGTTTTGAATATTAATTTGGTCATATTATTGACAAAAAAAAAAATTAATGTGGTCATATTCCTCATGGTAGGATGTATCCACGTGGCAAGATGTACAAGATTAGGGCATCCCAAAACTTTGTTTCTAACTCTGGTAAATGGGTAGGTCTTAAAATGGCAAGATATGCATGGGCATCATAAAACCTTGTTCATAAGGCCTAAAAGGGCTATATAGTGACCCTCGAGTGACCATGCCTCCTCAAAGATTTAGATAGCTTTAAGTGGGCTTGGTTGGATTGGATTGAACCTATAAATGGGTACTAATGATGTGGAGTTTAGGCCCCTTTTGTTTTTCAGGAAACCACCTACCTACCTATATTCTTTTATTTTCTTGGTAAACGAGACAGTGACGGTTTTAATCATAAAAGAACTATTATTAAAAGGGGTAATATTGTACTTTTGAAGTATTGGCAACTTTTTTTTAGATGGAAAAGTTATTTATCCATCTGGACCTAGGGAAAATGTATTTTTTTTTTTTTTGTGGATCTCACATAAATATGAGCACAGAATATAGTTATCTTAGTCGATGGGAACCAAAATAAAAAAAAAAAAACAAAGAACAGGCCCTTAGTGATAGGTAATGTTTACCCACACATCTATATGCCATATTGTTATCCTGGAACATGGACTAATTTTTTTATTGGGCCTGCATCCAGGGGCCCATATTTTAGCAATTTTGCATATTTTCCCACGTTCTGCTTCTGCAATTTTGCTACATTATTGATTAGCTACAATCAAGACCCTACCATTAAAAGCAACCAAATAGCCTACAATTACAAATCAGTGGCTCAAACTCTTTTCCAGTTTGGCTTTGAAAGAATCTTTTTGCTTTTGGTGGATATCTTCTCGTTGTAACTCCTGTTGATGATAAATGAACTCAGCCTAAAAAAACCGAAAATAATAGTAATAAAATGACAAATTATTCTTAGGCTGTGTTTGGTTGGTTGGGGGAAGAGGGGATTTTTTCACAGGTTTCCCGAAAGATTTTAGTTAAATGGTTTTATACACCAGGAGGCAGCCCTCCCAAACTGTTCATGTGAATGACAATTCACTGTAGATTTCTTTGATGAAATTGTTTGTACGAGAGCAGAAACTTTGGGCCTCTACTAGCTTCTCGATGACAGAATCCAAAGAAAACCATTCAGCAACTCAGCAAAGAGCATTTAAATGGATTATCAGAACTCGAGAGAATTTTTCGAACTTAGAGGTGTTCTTCAGGCCTAATTTCATTTGCATCGGTGCTTTGACTACGCCCGAGCCGGTAGGGGCGTATTAAATAACTCTTAAAGACATTTGTATTATTTTCAAATGTCACTCACGTTTTAAAAAGTTCAAATACTGAATTATCGCAAGTTCGGAGACCAAAATTAGGCACAAAACTAATCGAAAATTTTCCCTAAAATTAAATCAAAAGTAAGCCGTGCATCATTTGCACTCTAAAACAAACATAGAAATATATATATAGCATGACAACACAAACCAAAATTTTATTCAGGCAGGAAACTACACCCTCAAAAGGATTTCAACCGTTTACAATGGGTGACCCCACGACTCTTTCTTTCACTCTACTCGTGGGACCATTTACTGGCTTTATCAAAAGACTAATACCATCTTCCGGATCCGAGTGGGTTAAGATTAACCCGACCCAGGAACTGCCACCCCTCACACATGGACACACAGACAAATACGTAACAACCATAAATCAGCAACATATACAATCCGCTCAATTGATTTATACATAGCACGAACGGATTTTGGTTTTTATCCAAGTTCCTATGAAAGAAAATAGCTGAGACACCCGGATATGTATCTCTAGACCCGGAACACAAAATACAAAAGATCACTCCCCTACATCATATATTCATATATCCATTAAGTATCTACACACATCTGACGATCACTTCTTCCTGTATCCATCTGTTTAGTGGATCCTCTCTCTACCCAGGATTCCCACATCGTTGAATGTCTACCCAGCCATCTGATTCCAGCCAATCGACACTGTTTCGCTCGGAGTCGTCTTCGTCTCCACCTTTATCCTCTCCTCAGAGCTTTGCTCTTCTGGATATCTCACCTCCACCTTGCTCCGCTCCCTGCGTTACAGATGATGTTTAATGGATTATACTGTAAGCTTCACAAAAATGAAAGAAAAAGGCTAAAGCACCTATCGCTTGCCACGTCCTTGTATTCCTCTCCTTCCAACCTCGGCCGTTCCATCTTCTGTCTTGCCGACTCCTCCGTCTCGCCCATCTTCTCCTGTAAAAGCCATTTCAGTTTTCATTCATGGCTTCCTCCAAATTCTTTCCTTAGTTTGTTATAGCTGCATCGAATTTAAGAGAAACCCAAATGAAAAAAATAAATAAATAAATTGCTTTGGTTATTCATTCACCTTGGCTTCCTGTCCAGTCTCCGCTGTCTGCTGATTCGTCTCGGCATTCTTACCTGTCAAGAATTCCTTTGCCTGTGTAGCTGCATCGGCGGTAGAGTCCTTGAGTCCTTTCATCCTTTCAGCCGTCGTATCCTTTCCCTCCTTCGTCTTCTCAGCAGTATAGTCCTTGTACTGACCCGTCTTCTCCATTGTTGCATCTTTCCCCTCCTTCGCCTTATCGGCGGTGTAGTCCTTGTATTCACCCATCTTCTCCATTGTTGCATCTTTCCCCTGCTTGGCCTTATCGGCGGTGTAGTCCTTGTACTCAC